TGTGCATAGTAACCAATCAGCTTCTAACTTCAGCTTGTTCAATTAAGCTTTGAAAATAAAACCTGGAAGCTGATTAGTTGCTGTGCACAGCTGCACCAGATTCTGCAGGCACTAGCTTTAATAAGTCTCTCCCAATATGTCCCCTCCTCACCGCCTGTTTTAACCCTTTAAAATGCCACACCACTGTGCATTGGACATGGTTGCAGGGCAGTTGCAGCGCAACATTCAGTTGAACTGATCATGTTCAACATTGGTATCCCTGGCCAAAAGCAACCTGATTGGTTTGAAGATGTGACTTATTTCCCTCCCACTTCCTATCCATTATCTTCTATCCCAAGAAGCACAGGTTAATTTTTATGTAGCATAAAGTCCTACTGAAGCTCACATCTTTTTTTCTTCAGTCCTATACAGGCATATATTTTGATTTTATTATTTTTTTTATTTTGAAAACTTTTTAAAATACCTATCCACTTAGAGAAACTTAGGCAAGCCATACATTAGGCAAGCATAGATGCAACTGTGGAGTTGCAGGAGAAATAATCGTTCCTTTCCCCCCATCAATACAGTCAGTGTTGATGGGGGAATCCCTCCTGCAGAAGTACTGTGTATTGTGATCATTGGATCAACTTCAGTACAACCAGCCTGCCCATAGATGGATCAAATCTTGGCCAGTTCCTGCTGAACTGGCCAAGATTCGATTCATCTATGTCTGGTTTTACACAGACCTGCAGTTCTAGTAGTCAGTCTATGTCTGACCAGGTCTGTTAGACTGCAGATTGCACTGCCACAGAGGCCTAACTCAGGTACAGGTCCTATTGGATGGCACAGTTCTATTTAGACACAATGCAAAACTGCTTTTTGGAAAGCGGAATTACAGAAGATTATAAAAATTGGATTTTAATACGTCCATGTTCATGCACAGTCTGACTGCCTTCAGATCCATTATTGCCTGTATTTGTGAGGAAAGCAAAGCCAGGTAATCCCAGCATACAAAAGACCTTTGTGATTCAACAAGCAGGCCAACAACACCTCACCAGAATTCTCCTTCTTAAGCCTCTAGAAGATGCTCTATGACTGCAGTCCTAATGGTCTGTTCATTGGATTATTAAAGATCTTTTGTATGTCAGGATTATGGTATGCATCTATTTTTTTTTATTGAATACAGACTCCTAGAGTTTGGACGTTGCCCTGCTGTGGCTTTATGTTCTTATTGAATCTGTTACCCCAAAAGGGAAGTAGTCAAGAGGGTTCAATCCTTGCAAAAACAAGGATCTTGTCACTCAACCCAATCTAAAAGAAAGCAGCTGCCATAGTCTGCTTGTGAGTCATTTTACTTGTTCCCTTACTTTTTAATTCTACTCCTGTACTGTAAATTGTGAAGATCATTGTTTTGGAGACAAGTTTTGTATTGGCACTTTGAAATAAGAGCACCCTTGAGTCACAGGAAGATCTTGATGCTTTTTATCATGCAGATTTGAAAGTACATACAGTAAATGGAGTGCTGGTCAACATGAATTCCCTATGTGTGATCAAGGTGTCTACTTGTATTGAATCTACTTTAATTGTAATTTTTTATGTATCTGTATTTATTACCACTGTCCACAACACATAGCATTTAGAGTTATACAGAGGATAGTATTGCAATGTCATACATGTAATAATGCTAATAGCTTGGAGTGCACACAGAGGTATACATCCTGTCTTTTAAAATGTTGCTGACAACGTCCCATACAAACATCATAGATTTATCTTCCCCTTATCTGTCGTGTTTACTTGAACTGTCCTAAACCTCCCATACTGTGAATTCCTGTATTTGGTCACTGGTCAGCAGTATTTCCTAACAGTTCCAGTAAATATTTGCACCAAGCCAGGCATTTATTAGGCAAGCCATTTCCTATAATGCTTGTCATAGCCGGGTTCTGATCATCTGTTTAATGGGGCCCTCACTAGAAAGTTTGTGGTAATTACACTAATCAGGCTAACTTGCTTCTTAATACTGTTCTTAATTTATTACATTTTAGATTAACTTCATATTTAAAGTGATTGTAAACCTCAGACATGAAATATGAACAAAGCATATTCCTCTATAATGTGTACTTGTCTAAATTAAGAGCACTAAGTGTCATTTCTGTGTGCTGCCCCTTTCCTCTGCTATCTACATGAGTCACTTCTGACACGTTTTCCTGACACCAAAAGAAAAAAAGGGGACAGGGGAGGGACTTCCAGCATATTGACACCCTCAGCTCTGTTCCTGTGAGCTGTGTGAAAGGGTGTTCCTTCCCTCCAATCAGCTGTCAGAGCTCTCCTCACTGAGCTCTCTCTTCCCCTTCTTAGTAATTGTGGTATCTGGCAACTTACATTTTGCAACATGGCAAGGAGCATTACCCTGCTGAAAGAGGTCACTTGCCATCAGGGAATAATGTTTCCATGAAGCGGTGTACTTGGTCAGCAACAATGTTTAGGTAGGTGGTATGTGTTAAGAATCATCCACATGAATGGCAGGACCCAAGGCTTACTATCAGGACATTTCCCAAAGTATCACACTGCCTCTGCCAGCCTGTCTTCTTCCCATAGTGCATCCTGGTGCCACCTCTTCCCCAGGTAAGTGACGCACCCGGCCATCCGCATGATGTAATAGAAAATGTGATTCATCAGACCAGGCCAACTTTTTTCCAATGCTCTGTGGTCCAGGTCTGATGCTCACATGCCCATTGTAGGTGTTTTGGCTGTGGACATAGGTCAGCATGGGCACCCTGACCGGCCTGCAGCTATGCAGCCTCATACACAGAAAACTGTGATGCAATTTTTGTTTTCCACTTTCAACACATCAACTTCAGGGACAACAACATGTTTACTTGCTGCCTAATATACCCCATTGACTTTCAGATGCCACTGTAATGGGATAATCAGTGTTATTCACTTAAAATAGAAGTATGGCTTTTAAAAAAAAATTTATACTCTCCTTGATAGATGTAGCATCAATCTGATGCTGCATCTGTCCGCCGCTGGCTCTGCATTGAGAACTGAGTGATCAAACATTGCTGATTACTCAGTTATCCCATTCGCTCTGAGCAGAGAAGAGTGACTATCAGTCATAGTCTCTCTGCTCTGCCTTTCCTGCACTCCTTGGAGCCCTAGACTAGGAAGGGGATGAATTGGCTGGCTCAAGTCTCCCAGTGGCGCAGCTGAGAGAATGATACAGCTGCCGGTCAGTGGGTGGAACTGACTCAGTGATGTCAGCTGACAGTGAGCTTTAGTGGGAGTGCAGAACTAAGTGCACTCCTGTGACCCATAGGAGTGGTAGGACAAAGTTAGCTTTGGCCATACTTCTCCCTTAACCTGTTAGTAGTCATAATGTTATGTCTGATTTGTGTTTTTCTAAATGTAAGAGTGGGAGGGGGGTGAAGGTCCCCTTTAAATATATTTTTAAACGCAACTAATGTAAGTACCTGAATCTGGTTTGGAGCAGTCTCATCCAACTATCTGAACAGCAGAGCTCAGACAGGGAGAAGGAAAAGCAGCACTACCAGCCAACTCAAATATCCACTTAATCACTGTGTAGCCTTCTCATCCGACATCAGTGCCTGACCTCACAAATGCGCTTCTGGAAGAATGGTCAAACATTTCCATAAACACCCTCCTAAACCTTTTGAATCGTCTTCCCAGAAGAGTTGAAGCTGTTATAGCTGCAAAGGGCGGGTCAACTCAATATTGAACCCTATGGACTAAGACTGGGATGCCATTAAAGTTCATGTGCGTGTAAAGGCAGGCGTCCCAATACGTTTGGCAATATAGTGTACATTAGTGTGATGGTCAGTACAAGTGCACAAAGAAACATCCATAAAGACATGAAGGAGCTTGACTGGCCTGCACAGAGTCCTGACCTCAACCCAATAGAACACCTTTGGGACAAATTAGAGCGGAGATTGCAACCTAGGCCTTCTCATCCGACATCAGTAGTCCATATGCTTGTGGTTATTAGGAAGAATTACTCCCTTACAGATAAGTAAAAGGATCAATGGTGTCAGTGGGAACTTATCTGAGAGGTAGAAATATCTTGTCACTCAAGGAACCCCAACCAACCTCTGGAGGAACCATAGGTTGAGAAATCCTGCTGTACCCAAATTAAATTTATAGAAATTTTATTCAAATAGAGCTTCCTTTTGGTGGTATTTGATCACTACTGTTTTCTTTAATTTTTTTATGATAAAAACAAAAAGACATAAAATTTGGAAACAATATTTTCTACTCTGTTATACAAATATCTAATAAGAAGTGTATTCTGCAATGTCTTTGGTAAAAAAAAAAATCTCAATAAGTGTATTGATTGGTTTGTGTGAAAGTTATAGCTTCTACAAACTATGGTATACAGGGCCGGATCTAGCCTGACTATGTGGGAGTGCAATAAAAAAAATGTCAGGGAGGCAGAGGAATGAGAGCTCAGCAGGGCAGCGTACAGGGGGTAAGCAGCGCAGAGGATAGGGTCAACAGTTTGTAGGGCAGTGTACAGAGGCCATTAATTTGTAGGTCAGTGTACAAGGGTCAGCAGGGCGGATCATAGTGGTCAGAAGAGCTGAGCATAGGGGACAGAGAGCTGAGTTCAGGGGTCAACAGGGTGGATGACAGGGGTCACCTTTGCCAGGGCAGAGGACAGGGGTCACTGCTGGCAGGGCACTCAGCAGAGCTCCTTCTCCCATCCCTGCACTGCACACAGCCTCAGGACAGGCAGCAGAGCTCCTCCTACTCTATCATCACACAGATCGCTGAGATCAGTAGTGTCAGGCTAGGGCAGTAAAGTATCATATTATAGTGTCAGAGAACAGCAGTATAGTGACATATTATTGCAGCATAGTGTCAAATTAGGGCTGTATAGTATCATATTATGGCAGTACAGTGACAGGTTAGGGCAGCACAGTGTCAGATTAGGGCTGTATAGAGAGAGATTAGGGTACAGGGGCGGACTGACAACTCATGGGGCCCCTGTGTCTTTGCCCAAACTCAAAAAAGCCTATGAAAAAGGTACCAGGGGCATCTCATGGGGCCCCCTACTGACCCCGGGCCCTTGGGCAGTGCCCGAGTTTCCAAATGGTCAGTCCGTCCCGTTAGGGTATCATAATGTCAGATTAGGGCAGCATAGTATCAGATTAGTGCAGCATAGTATCATATTAGGGCAGCACAGTGTCAGATTAGGCAGTATAGTGGCAGTTCAGAGACAGTTCAGTGACAGGCTAGGGATGACGGTGACAGTGTGATAGTGTGATTTAACACATACCTGAAGATGAAGACTCCCAGGCTCATGTGTCCACTCCTCCCTTTCCCCTTCTTCAGCTACGCAGCAGCCAGACTAAAGAAGTCTGTGGGAGGAGGCAGCCACACCTCCAGCCCATCCCAACAAGAAGACATGGGAGTGGTACAGGCAGCTCCCCCCGCCATGCTGGGCCCCTGCTGACCCAATCATCGATGTAGCTGGGCAGCACATTTAGTAATACATTTACAAAGCCACAAGGAAAGGAAAGGAAAGTGAAGCTGCCTGCACAGTATAGTTCCGTGGGCAGGCTGAACATTGGGGGAGCGGTTGGCTTTGTGGGGGCACAGCTCAAATCTGGGGGGGCATAGCCCGCCCTAGTACCCCCTAGATCTGGCCATGATGGTATACAGTGAGGAACAGAAGTATTTGAACACCCTGCGATTTTTCAAGTTCTCCTACTTAGAAATCATGGAGGGGTCTGAAATTCACCATTGTAGGTGCATTCCCACTCTGAGAGACAGATATTTAAAAAAAAAGATTCAGGAAATCATCATTGTGTTATGATTTTTAAAGAATTTATTTGTCTTGCACTGCTGAACATAAGTATTTGAACACCTGAGAAAATCAGTGTTAATATTGTGGTACAGAAGTCTTTGTTTGCAATTACAGAGGTCAAATGTTTCCTGTAGTTCTTGACCACACACTGCAACAGGGATTTTGGCCGACTCCTCCAAACAGATCTCCTCTAGATCTGTCAGGTTTTGGGGCTGTCGCTGAGCAACACAGAGTTTCAGCACCCTCCAAAGATGTTCTATTGGCTTTAGGTCTGGAGACTGGCTAGGCCACTCCAGAACCTTGATATGCTTCTTACGGAGCCACTCCTTGGTTATCCTGGCTGTGTGCTTCAGGTCGTTGTCATGTTGGAAGACCCAGCCACGACCCATCTTCAATGCTCTGACTGAGGGAAGGAAGTTGTTGCTCAAAATCTCACAATAAATGGCCCCATTCATCCTCTCCTTAATACAGTGCAGTCGTCCTGTCCCCTTCGCAGAAAAGCACCCCCAAAGCATGATGTTACCACCCCCATGCTTCACAGTAGGGATGGTGTTCTTGGGATGCAACTCATCCTTCTTTTTCCTCCAAACACGACTAGTAAAGTTTAGACCAAAAAGTTCTACTTTGGTCTCATCTAACCACATGACTTTCTCCCATGCCTCCTCTGGATCATCCGGATGGTCATTGGCAAACTTCAAACGGGCCTAGACATGTGATGAATTGAGCAGGGGAACCTTCCATGCAATGTATGATTTGAAACCATGACGGCGTAGTGTTCTACTGAGAGTGACCTTTGAAACTGTGGTCCCAGCTCTTTCATGTCATTGACCAGCTCTTCCCTTGTAGTTCTGGGCTGATTCCTCACCTTTCTTATCATCAGTGATACCCCACGAGGTGAGATCTTGCATGGAGCCCCAGTCCGAGGGAGACTGACAGTCATCTTTAGCCTCTTCCATTTTCTAACAATTGCTCCAACAGTTAATCTATTTTCACCAAGCTGCTTGGCAATTGTCCCGTAGCCCTTTCCAGCCTTGTGGAGGTTCACAATTTTGTCTCTGGTGTCTTTGACAGCTCTTTATTCTTGACCATGGTAATAGTTGGTGTCTGACTGCCTGTGGGGTGGACAGGTGTTTTTAAAGAGCTCAGACAGGTACTACCAAGTTAGAATAATGAGTGGAGTAGAGGTGGACTTTTTAAAGGCACAGTAACAGGTCTTTGAGAGCCAGAATTCTTGCTGTTTCTTAGGTGTTCAAATACTTATGTTCAGCAGTGCAAGACAAATAAATTCTTTAAAAATCACACAATGTGATTTCCTGAAATTTGTTTTTAAATTCTGTCTCTCAGAGTGGGAATGCACCTACAATGTGAATTTCAGACCCCTCCATGATTTCTAAGTGGGAGAACGTGCAAATCGCAGGGTGTTCAAATACTTCTGTTCCTCACTGTATATACTGATATTTTTATTTTTTTATACTAGAAATGTCTGTGATAGTGGGACTGCGATCAATCTGACAGTAACTGACATTGACATCACCAGTGACATTACAGTGATCAATGCTAATAATATACATTGTGGCTGTACTAATGACACTGGCTGGAAAGGGAACAACATCTAGGGGCAATGAAAGGATGAGCTGTGTAATGTGTGTAATAAGGAACTTGCTTTTGCTAAGAGATGCAGCATCCACATTGCTGCTTTCTGTACAGAGCTTTGTGTTGTTTGTAAAAACAGGGCTCTGTGCTGTGATTCGCTAAGCCAATCAGCAGGTTCTGACCATGAATCCATTTAAGCTCTGGGAGGTTTTACTCCCTTCATGACCATGCCATTTTTTGCTAATTGGCACTGCGCTACTTTAACTGCCAATTCATGTAACACTACATGCAAAGGAAATTGATATTATATAATCATAAATTACAGTATCTCACAGACGTGAGTACACCCCTCACATTTTTGTAAATATTTTATTATATCTTTTCATGTGACACCACTGAAGAAATGACACTTTGCTACAATGTGACGTAGTGAGTGTACAGCTTGTATAACATGTAAATTTGCTGTCCCCTCAAAAATAACTCAACACACAGCCATTAATGTCTAAACCGCTGGCAACAAAAGTGAGTCCACCCCTAAGTGACAATGTCCAAATTGGGCCCAATGTGTCAATATTTTTTGTGGCAACCATTATTTTCCAGCACTGGCCTTAACCCTCTTGGGCATGGAGTTCACCAGAGCTTCACAGGTTGCCACTGGAGTCCTCTTCCACTCCTCCATGATGACATCACAAAGCTGGTGGATGTTAGAGACCTTGCGCTCCTCCACCTTCCATTTGAGGATGCCCCACAGATGCTCAATAGGGTTTAGGTCTGGAGACATGCTTGGCCAGTACATCACCTTTACCCTCAGCTTCTTAAGCAAGGCAGTGGTCGTCTTGGAGGTGTGTTTGGGGTCGCAATCATTTTGGAATACTGCCCTGAGGCCCAGTCTCCAAAGGGAGGGGATCATGCTCTGTTTCAGTAAGGTTTCAGGTATAGTATAATACAGGTTATTATTAGCCACCCAGATATATATATATATATATATATATATATATATATATATATATATATAATATATATATATATATATAAACGCACAGTGAGCAAACTAACCTTCCACTAATCTTAGGAGGTGCAGGAAACACAGGCGTAGTCAGGGCTGGAGAGGTGGAATGGTCAGGCCGGCCGTAGGGTTCTGTAACAACTGCCTGGTGGTACCTCTAGTGGTCCTCAGGGCAGGATTCCCCAGGGCGCGGAGTCTAAGTCCCAGTCTGCTATTCACCAGGGCCCCTGATGGTGGGGATGGACTTGGAGCAGACAGGAACCAGGTCGCGGCCCCTGAGTACACCTGCTAGTGATAGAGGGATCCGCCAGAGGTATGTGCAGGTACGGCTGGATCCGTGCAGGATGGATGGATGGCAGAGTAGTGAGCGTGGTCAGACGGGCCAAGTCAGCAACGTGCGGGCAGCAAGGTATCAAAGGAGCAGGCAGAGAATGGTCAAGGTCACAAGCCGGGTTCAGTAACTCACGGACAGCGCAGTACAGAGGATCAGGCAGAAGGATGGTCAGGGATGAGCCAGTAGTCAGAACAGGAGACGGTCAACAGGAATCAGGATCAGGCAGGGTCGGCAACAAGGTATCTTCTCACAGGAACTAGGAACAGGATACAGGGGCTCATGGGAAACCATACACCAAGGCCCAGAGCACAGGCCTGGTCATGCCTTATATACACCTTTCTGTAATCAGCCCCAGGTTTGGCTGATTGTGAGCTTCTGGCTGCTAAGAGCACCCGCTTGGTCAGCTCTGGTACTGCAGCCCACACGGCAGGAGAGTCCCACCACCCAGTGCTGAGAGCACCCGCTGGTCAGCTCTGGTACTGCAGCCCACACGGCAGGAGAGTCCCACCACCAGTGCTGAGAGCACCCGCTGGTCAGCTCTGGTACTGCAGCCCACACGGCAGGAGAGTCCCACCACCAGTGCTGAATCCATTTCCTGACAGAACCCCCCCCTCAAGGAGCGGCCTCAGGACGCTCCAAACAGTCCTTAGTGGGCAAAATGTTCCACCGCCGCCCGGGTCCGGTAACTGGCTGAATATCCTACTGCCGGAGTAAACCGGCTGGCTGGGTTTTCCCCTGCTGGTAGACTTCTCTTTGTGTAGGAGAATCAAGGAAGGCAGGTCACTGGGCACAGGATTTTCCAGGAGCAGGCTGGGTATCAGTTATTATCGGCCAGTTTAACTGGACATCAGGGGCTGGCATGTCGGGCTGTGTAGCGGGCAGAGGCACGTCAGCGGGCACCGAGTCATCTGGCACGACAGCGGGCACAGAGTCACTGGGCACGTCAGCGGGCACAGAGCCTTCTAGCAGAACCGCGGGTACCGGGTCACCAAGCTCGACAGCGGGCACCGAGTCAACTGGCACGACAGCGGGCACCGAGTCAACTGGCACGACAGCGGGCACCGAGTCAACTGGCACGACAGCGGGCACCGAGTCAACTGGCACGACAGCGGGCACCGAGTCAACTGGTACGACAGCGGGCACCGAGTCAACTGGCACCGAGTCAACTGGTACGACAGCGGGCACCGAGTCATCAAGCATCAAGTCATCCGGCTCAACAGCGGGCACCGAGTCATCAAGCATCAAGTCCACCCGGCTCAACAGCGGGCACTGAGTCATCAAGCATCAAGTCATCCGGCTCAACAGCGGGCACTGAGTCAACTGGCACCGAGTCAAAGGTACGACAGTGGGCACCAAGTCAACTGGCACCGAATCATCAGGCATCAAGTCATCTGGCTCGACAGCGGGCACCGAGTCAACTGGCACCGAGTCAACTGGTACGACAGCGGGCACCGAGTCAACTGGCACC